ATCCAGGTGTTTTCACGCCCAGCTACGAGCGGAGGGGCGACCAATGGAGGAGGCTGCAGGTTCTCCAGGCCAAGGGGCTCTTGCAATGCCATGGCGAAGAAGAGGCAGCCTACCCAATTGATGGGGCAAGGTAGAGGAAGACTGGGCAGTCTTGCCTGAGAGCCGTGCCGTCCAGCGCAAAGAATGTCACACAACAACAAGCTTGCTCCCAACTTCCCCTGACTCAGCTCCCTTTAGTTGGAGACTACATCAGCAGTATAACATGATCAATGGTTACAACTTTCCAAATCGGTCAAGACAACAGCATGACATTACAGGAATGCCGCATGACCATGGATAACGACCGATGTACTAGGCCGCCGTTTGTTCCGTATTCGCACAAGGTCAGCGTTAGATGTCACTATCCGAACGCCGATTGTCCTCAAGCAGATGCATGGTCTCGTCATCTAAATGCTCGAGAATGTCGGTAGCAATACGTTCATCGAGGAAGCACGCTACCCACTCCAGAATGACGGCATTATCATTAGGGACAGCATCGGACATCGCTTGCAAAAGCAAATTGACTTTATCGGCAGTGAAACGCCATGCAAGCAAAAGATGCTGCTCCAAATGTGCTTTTATGAGGTAAATTGGAAAATCTTCCTGGCGATGCCCAGTGACTGGGGTCCTAGCCTGGCTAGAGGAGGGGAAGAGTATAGCATTGTTTCGCATTCGCGCGACACCCAAGTCCATCAATTCCGTAACATGAAGCTGCAATTTGAAATGGGTGCAGTTCACACGCACGACGGGCACAACACGCTGTGTACTGGCGAAGGTTGACGTCGATGTCACAAAACGCCTGCGCGATGCCCAAGCCCCGATGATACCTCCCCAGCGCCGACAAACAGCAGCCACTCTCGCGGTTTCCCTCAGGGATGGGAGGGCAACCCTATAATTCTCGACTCCAGGAGCGACGTGAGGGAGGCGAGTATAACAACAACCCCAATTCGACTGTTGTTGCCGCCAGAGGTACACCTGTGGAGGCTCGGAGAGGCCTTCGCGCGGCTCTATAATTAACCACAGGCTCAAGCACACAGTGCACGCATCAAAGAGGATACAACGCAATGCATCCAATGGGCAGTCGTGAAGGTGTCTATCGCTGTGCCTGGAGGCGGGCCTACAGTAGGCCGAAGTAGGGCTCAACTGCGAGACAATCACAAGCAGCGGAGCAAGACGTTCCATATGGCTTTGAGGGCTGGATGCCTCAACCATGTTAGTGATGCCTTCCTGAGGGGAAGGCGGTGGACTACCTCGGATCTACAGAGTTGACCTGAGCCAGCACTGCACAGCACCCATGAAAAAGTCCCGCCAACACATTCCCTAGACTGCAAAACCGCGATAGCAGTGTGAAACTGGAGAACGAGACCCTCATGCTTCCAAGGCCAAGAATTAGTGAAGGGGCGGGGTCCCTACTGCATTTTCAGAAATATGTTTGCATTCGGAGCAAAAGCTTGGAGTACTGCCGACGCAGGACTCGCAACTGCCCCTTGTGAGTCGGCCAGGACGAAAGATCGACACTCGAGGTGCCCACTGCGTTCTCTCATCGCTTGCACGCATTTGACCATCAACAGGGACACAGGCCAGCTACAAGAAGCCAAAACAGGGCAAGGTAGGTCATTCCAATCGCTTGGGTTGAGGAGCTGCAGGTGCCAGGACGGCCAGCCAACAGTGACGGGTGGATGCGCAGCCCTTACAGCCAGGAGATCATTGTAGGCATATACAGTGAACGGTGTGCCCACCGGCCAATCTACCAGGGCACAGCACGGAGGGACAGGTAGGTGACTAAGTTGCGAAACAGCGAAGACCCCAAGGAGATCTGGCTGCAGGCGGTTCGGGCACAAAGCACATAAGGCAGGGAAAAGTTGAGTGGTAAGTTGGAGAGTATCCCCTTCAAGAGTTTCTTGTCGAAAGGGGGCAACGCACCAAACGATTTGAATCATACAACCTTGATGTTGAGTAACGCGCACAAGGGTGAGATTGGCGACAAGGCCAGCATACCTTACCCTACAACGAGAAGCTGCTTCACGGACTGACCAAGGGGCAGGCACGTGACGCTGCAAGGTGGACTGTGTGCGAGGCCATAGACTGCCACAGTGGCCCTCTGCCTGCGGGTGAGGAGAATCCATTTGGGCAGGCCAATGATGCTCATGAGCAAGTCGCCCGCCCAGGAGCTGCCTTGCAGGAGTTTGATTGGCAAAGTCAGCTGTAAACGGTGAACGCAGTCGGAGGAAGCGGAGGCTCGCGAGTGGGAAGTCTCCAACTGCATGGACGTCGTAAGTGCATTCGTCAAGAGGCGTGACTCCAAAGAACGCTCCGGCGTGTTCCCCCGTGGGAATCGCAAAGAAGGGCATTCCCCTCAGACCTTCCAAGAGAAGTCGGAACCAGTGCGAATTAACTGATGCAAGACAGGCCACAGACTGGATAGCCAATTGGCACCAATGGAGCATGTGCCAATGAAAGTCTAAGCCGCCCGAGACCTGGCCGATCTTTATTTCTTGTCTTATGCTCCAACTAAGCCAAGCCTGGAAGGCATCAGCGGCATTTTCAGTGCCATGAACACTCTGCAATGGCAGGGCAAGAACAACCTTGATGTTGCAGAGATCCACAAGAAGGCGTTGCGCGACTGACGATGTCAGTCTTTGCACAGGGTCCTCTCCACCTCCGCAAAGAGGGATTAGAGGGTCATTGCCTAGGACCAGCGTCAAGGCCACGGGGGACAAATCCAAGGACAGAGCTTGCGGCAGAGCAAGAGTACGGGCGTACTCAAGCTGCCTTGGGTCGCTGTCAAGGCAGTCTTCCTCTGTTGACATGCTCAATTTGGGCCGCAAGGCAACGAGTCGTAAAGTGTGGCGGCAGGAAAGTGACGTCGCGGGGCAGCCTCAGACTCCCATGAGCCAAAGCACTACTACGCTAGTGTGAGCCAAAAGGCGGCAAGAAGGCGTTACCAATGCAGCAAAGCCAGCCGTCCTAGCATCAAAGTAGGCTGTGGGAGGCGGAGACCAATCTAAACAGGTGACCTTCGAAGGTGAGGCACTTGTACTTAAGAAGCACCCTCGCATCCTCATGGAACGCTGTTTGGATTTTGGTGCACGTGTCCGCAACAAAGCCCTGTTCATCGCAAAGTACGAAGGCCCGACTTTCAAGGTAACCACTCCGTTGCCGCATGTGTTGCACAATTAGTATTTGCAGCATCAGGACCGGCAGCATTGGATCGATTGTGAGATTGAGAGGGAGCATCCCATCAGGCGGATTGACAATACAGAGGCGCCTACTAAAGTAAGACCCTACCAGGACCGGATGTGCCTCTACCATGTGAAGGCAACAGCAATAAAGACCGTGCCAACAGGCCAATCAACAAGAAAGCTGACTAGAGGGACAGCAAAAGTCAGTCCCTGGACAACTACTTGGATTTGCACCAGATTGAGATCAAGTCGGAAGGCCATGTTTTCCAGGAGGAGCGGAAGAAGTTCAGCGCCTAGTTGGGTAGAGTCGAGGAGGTACCACTCTCCGTGCGTGTAGGGTGAGCAACACATGGTGTACTTGAGCATACATCCAAACTCGAGTCCAACTTCAACGAGGACGAAGGTGGCGATTTGGCCAACGAAAGCACAGGTCGCACCAAGACCCTGTTCGTGAAAGGCGCAGGCCGTTTGGGTGGTGAACTGGTACTCTTGCACTCGTGGCGCACCGGTGCCATTCTCGGCTGGGAGGGGCCCAGAGGGGCGCTTAAGAACGCCAGGCCAAAAACCATGGTGGGTGGCACGAGCAAGCAGGGTGGGAGGTGACCTTTGGTATGCGAGAAGACTCTCTCATAGGCAGAAACGCCCACACCGCGCCACAACACAGCTGAGAGGATCGAGGATCTAAGTTTGAGGAGTGTCGTTCTAGAGGCCTCAGTTCCAAAACTGCATCAGAGTGCAGTTTCAGGTCTCACAGTAGCATCGCTGCAGCCGATTTTGAGGCCAGAAAATTTGCTCGTAATCGGAATCGCAACAGGATGCAGTTCTGAGGCTGCGGAGTTGTGGAGTTCCACGTTTGTTACACTCCACAACTCCGCAGCCTCAGAACTGCATCCTGTTGCGATTCCTCCCTCGCAAATTTTCTGGCCTCAAAATCGGCTGCAGCGATGCTACTGTGAGACCTGAAACTGCACTCTGATGCAGTTTTGGAACTGAGGCCTCTAGAACGACACTCCTCAAACTTAGATCCTCGATCCTCTCAGCTGTGTTGTGGCGCGGTGTGGGCGTTTCTGCCTATGAGAGAGATGCTTTTTTGCAGCCATGATGCTTTCGTGATGCGACAAAAATGCTCCGTGATGATTTCATGATGCGGCAAAATGCTTTCATGATGCGGGAAAAATGCCTCGAAAATGCATGTCGCGCAACGCGTTCATTTGCACACGCCGCGAAACGTGTTCATTTGCACATGCCGCGTAACGCGTGCACTTTTGCATGTCGCGCAACGCGTTCATTTGCACACGCCGCGAAACGCGTTCATGTGCCATGCCGCGCAACGCGTGCACTTTTGCATGTCGCGCAACGCGTTCATTTGCGCATGCCGCGCAACGCGTTCATTTGCACGTGCCGCGAAACGCGTTCGGTTGCAGAGTCTCTCCAAGTCTCTGCCCTTTTCCTCGGTGGGGACTCGGGGGAGGACTCAGTCTCTGCGGGGTAAATACCCCGGAAGACTGCAGTCTGTAGCAGGGGCGCGGTGCGGCGGCGCGGTGGGCATGCGGGTGAGATGGGGAGCTCGGTCCGAGAACGGTGCGGTGCGGCCGCGGTGCGGCGGCGCGGTGGGCATGCGGGGGAGATGGGGAGCTCGGGCCGAGAACGGTGCGGCGGTGCGGTGGGCGTGCGGGGGAGATGGGGAGCTCGGACCGAGAACGGTGCGGTGCGGTGGTCCGGAACGGTTATTTCGCCCTCCCGGCCATCCCGGGAATCACCGGGATGGCTCCGCGGCTCTCAGATCACGCTCAGGAGCTCCGCGCCCGTGGCCCGCGACGCGCCGACATAGAGATGCTTGACAGAAAAATGCGGGTTCTCGGCGTCGCAGAGCCACACCCTCCCCCGCAGCGTGAGGCCCTGGCAGGAGGCGTACGTGACCGCGTGGCAGAGCCGCGTGTGCCGCAGCAGCTCCGCGGGCGTGAAGCTCTGCCCGTCGTCCAGCGAGATCCGCTCCCCCACCTCCCGCACCGTCGCGAAGCAGCCCTTGGGCACCCTGCCGCCCGCGCCCACGAGCCTCAGTCCGGGCCACACGCGCATCGTCTGCGGCTGGTTCGTGCCCGCGGGCCCCTGCGCCCGGTGCTCCACCAGCAGCGCTCCCTCCGGCGCGAGCCGCCGGTTCTCTCGCTCGTTGATGGCCATCCTGTGGGCGTGGGAGATGACCAGGCAGGTGTCGGGGTGGCCCCGCCGCGGGAACCGCTCCCGCGCCGCCTGCACGGCCTCCCGCAGCGGCGGCTGCTCCGGCTCGTCCACGCGCAGCCACCGCAGGAAGCGGAAGATCGTCTCGTCGCTGCGCTGGTTCTCCGTGAGCTCGTGCACGCAGCCGCCCGCCAGGTCGTGTAGCAGCTGCGAGTCCTTCAGCGAGCGCAGCACCGGCGCGCCCCCGAAGGCGTCCTGCACGGCGGGCAGCTGCCGGAAGTCGCCCAGCAACAGGAAGCGCACCCGGCGGTTCGTGGAGAGCTCAGCGATGTCGGCCCACAGCCCCACGTCGAGCTGCGTGACCTCCTCCACCACGAGCCAGTCCAGCTCGCAGCGGCCCGCGCGCACGGTGCGCCGCACCCAGTGGTCCGCCGTCTGCGCCCCCAGGCCCAGGTTCTGCACGCTGCAGCGCGTCTTCGAGATGAGCGTCACGTCCTCGCCCTGCGCCGAGAGCTGCGCCACGATCCGCCGCGCCAGGTGCGTCTTCCCCGTGCCCGGCATGCCGGAGAGCAGCAGGCTGCCCCCGTCGAGGCAGTGCGCCACGGGGTCCTCCACGTGCCTCCAGGGCTCCTGCGGCGGCGGCGGCTCCGTCTCCAGCCGCGGCTCTCGGTAGTCTCCCTCCAGTCGCTTCACCTCCTCGAAGCGGTACTTCGGCGTGCCGTCCCGGTGCCGGTGCCGCGTGAGCGCCTCCACGGCGGGCAGGAACTTTTTCGGCAGGCCCTGGCAGACGAGGCAGTCGGTCTTCAGCGCCACGAGGTAGCGGGGCGGCACCTCCCGCAGCGCGCGGTGGATCCTCGCCATCGCCACGTACTCGGAGGCCATCACGAAGTCGTGCGCCGGGCGCGTGGAGCGGTTCGTGAAGAGCTCCGTGGCGTAGACGTGGTCGTAGTGGCAGGCGCCCGCGGCGTCGAAGAAGACCTGCAGGAACTGGGAGCCCCAGGCGTCCGCCTCGTGGCTGCTCGTCCTCATGGAGTAGAAGACGTCCTTGGAGCGCGCCCACAGCCCGATGAGGGCGTTCACGCTGAGCTTCGCGAAGTGCTCCTCGCCCTCGGGCCAGCCCCCCTCCATGACCTCCAGCGCCCGCGCCAGGCAGTCGGGCGCCACGTGGGCCGTGGCCTGCAGGGACCACTCGCAGTCCGCCCATCTCGCCAGGCCCGCGTCGAGCATGTAGGCCACCGCCGGCTTCCCGTACCAGCCCGGGCCGACGTAGGGCAGCCGCGCCAGAAAGCCCTCGCGCTTGTCCTCCCGCTTCCGCACGAAGGTGAGGTCCGCCAGCTGCCCCTCCTCCGCCGGCCGGATGCTGTCCAGGGGGCAGAAGACGGGCAGCGGGAAGGGGGCGTTGGCCAGGGCGTTCTTCCGGCACCGCACCACGTCCACGCCCTGGCACACCTTCTCGGGGTTGCATTTCGACAGGCCGCACACGAGGGGAGGCAGCCGCGGGGAGCAGGCGTAGCTCTCGTAGACGTGGCGGCAGAAGCGGCTCTCCAGGCTCGTGGCGTGGGAGCACTCCAGGAACGTCTTGGCGCGGTGGCACTCCAGGCACAGGGCCTGCAGTGGCTGCCGCTGCCCGAAGAAGGACTGGTGCACCGGCACCACGTGGTCCGCCTCGCAGCTGCCCGCGTCGATGGGCGCGGCGCAGAGCGCGCAGGCTCCCCGCTGCTCCCGCAGCAGCCGCTGCACATCGCCGCGGTCCCGGCGCGCCTTCAGGAGCGCTGCGAAGACCTCGCTGGCCGCGCCGGCGAGCCGCTGCCCGCGGTACACGAAGCCCAGCTTGCCCATCCACGCGTCCAGCACCTCCGCGTCCTCGGGGTACTCGTGAATGACACAGTCTCCCTGCTGCCCCCGCACGCGCAGCCGCAGGTAGCGCCACTCCACGAGCCCCCGCAGGACCACCTTGGGTTGGTGGCCCTCCGCGAGCAGGCGGGAGCGCGCGACGCGCAGGTCCTTGGCCCAGTAGTGCCCGGGCTCGAGGGCGCCCTGCCACTCCCGCCACTCGCCGAAGGGCGGCACGGTGGACTCCCGCCGCTCCCCGCGGTAGCTCGGAACGTCCCGCGGCTCGCCGTCGCACCAGGCCACGGCCCGCGCGCTCTTGTAGAAGTAGGCGTGGTCGCGATACACGCACAGCGCCAGGGCCCGCTCCTCCTTCACGGGCGGCTCGTAGCAGTCGATCATCTGCCCCCGACAGTTCACGATGAAGAGCGGCGCCTTGCGCCACTCGCAGAACTGCCGGATCTCCTTGCCGGTGACGCCCCTGCGCTCCCAGCCACGGGGGCAGATCGCGTCGAAGTCCGAGTAGATCTCCTCGAAGGGGAGCTGCAGTCCGCGATTTGGCGCACCACGCAGAGCCTGTCCGCGCGCTCCTCGAAGGCGCTCTCCAGGAGCTCCGAGCCCCTGTAGAGCTGGTAGGAGACGTCCCGCAGGGCCCCCAGCGGCTGGCGCAGCGTCACCTCCGTCTCCACCTGGTTGTTCTGCGCCACCTGCATCGTCTGCTTGGAGACGCCCCAGTCCCGCGAGGCGTCGAATGTGTATTGCTCCTCAGAGAGCTCCATGACCACGTCGCCGTCCGCGGGGTTCCCCATTTTGCGCAGCGCGGCCGCGATCACGTTCCGGTGCTGCTGCACCTCGCTCAGCCCGGCGTTCTGGCGCCCGAGGCCGTCCAGAGTCACGGGCAGGAAGTCGTCCCTCTGGTATGGCTGCCCGCGTCGCCGCCTCCCGCGGATCCTCACGGGCATGTGGGCGATGTAATCTGTCCACTTGTCACGGAAGAAGGCCTTGCCCAGCTTGGTGACGCGGTAGCTGCCGTCGGGCTGCAGGCTCCGCACAAGTTTCTTGGCGCCTCCCCGTAGCAGAATGTAGTCATTCGGGCCGTCGCGCACGAGCGGCTGCGCCTCGTTGAAGCGCCGGGAGGGCGGGCGCCGCCCGACCAGCTGGTAATAGAACTGCCCGGCGCGGGTGGGCTGCCCGTCCGGCCGGGCGAGCAGCAGCTGCTGGGCGTTGGGGAGGCGCAGGAGCTCCGAGCCCTGCGGCGAGGTGCGCGCGGAGATGCCCGCCTCCACGGCCCGCCGGATTCTCTCGCGCTGCTGCGCCCAAGACATGATTTACTACCCGCCCCTCGGCGGCGGCGGTCGGGCGAACGCGTTTAGAAGGGGCACTGCGGTTTGGGGGAGGGCGTCCAGGGCAGGTTGCCCCAGATCCTCGTGGGTTTACGGTACAAATAGCCGAACTTGCAGTAGGTGACGTCGTGGAAGGGCAGCCCGGCCATGTACTCGCGCGTCTTCAGCAGCCCCGTGGCCGGGTTCTCGAGGGCCCACCACCTGGGCTTGAGGTAGTCGATGATCTCGAGGGCCTTGAGGACCAGCGCGTCGCCGGCCGGCAGGTCGCGGGGGCGGTTCCTGAGGGCCATGGAGAACTCGGTGCACACGGGGCTCGCCCAGACCATGTCGAAGTGGCCGGGAGCGTAGTCCCTGTACTGCCACTGGAGGATGTCGCAGCAGATGGTCGGGCGGGCCTTGGCGTTCAGGTCGAGGCTCGTGACCTCCCAGCCGCGGGCCTCGAAGGCGCGGCCCACGGACCCGGTGCCCGAGAAGAGCTCGAGCAGCCGCATTTTTTTATGACCACGGTTCCTCCCACGGTCTCGCGAGGACCCACAGCACGGCGACGCCGCCGGCCAGCGTCAGCGCGACGCACAGAAACTCCCCGAAGCTCACGGGGCTCCCGGCGCGTTCACAGGGCGGCATTTTTTTTCTGCCGAGAATAAAAACCGGGAGCATGACGATTTTGCTGGGCAACATTCTGACCAACAGCAAGGGAGGTCGCTAGATCCCGCTGCGTACGGAGGGCGGCAGCGATGGAAGAGCGACTGGCTCAAAGTGATTTGGAACCCATCCTGCTACGGCGACCCCGAGGCGGTGCGCGTGTCCATGTGCCTGGAGCCCGACGAGGCCGCCCGGGCCTTCTTCCGCGAAACGGAGGAGCTGGTGACCAAGGCGCTGTCGGAGCACTCTCAGCGCGACTCCCGCATCTTCGGCAAGCCCCTGAAGCCCGAAGAGGTGAAGGAGCGGATGACCAGCGCGCTGAAGACCAGCACCCGCGGCACGGAGTTCCTCAAGTTGAAGCTCCACTACGACAAGATACGCCTGTGGGGACCAGACGGCGAGGAGCTCCCTGTGCAGAAGTGGGACCTGCAAGGTTGCTTGTGTAAAGTCCACGTGGAGCTGCGCCAGGTCTGGCTGATGAGCTCCCAGTGCGGCGTGCTGGCGGAGGTCACGGACGTGATGCTGCAGCAGGCCGAGCCCCGCGGCGTCTGCAGGAAGGGCGACCGCTGCGAGGCCTTCGACGGCCGAGGGCACCCTGCGAGCGCGCAGCGGGGCTCCCGCAAGGGCTACGAGGGCAGCTTCTTCAGGGACGATCTGTACTCCACTCCTCCCCCCCTCTGCGACGAGATTGCCGGGAGCGTCAGTTAAAAATGTGCTGCGGGCTCCACGAGTGCTACCGCGCGCTCTGGGTAAAGAATGGGCAAGGTGCGTCTCTTCAAGACGCCCGACTACACCGTCAAGCAGCCGCCCGATCCGGTGGTCTGCAAACCTCCCGCCAACGGGATCCTCTGCGCGCCCTCGGCCAGCGGGAAGACCGTTCTCCTCGTGTCGATGATTTTGGAGCAGTACCGGGGCTGCTTTGAGCGCATCTACATCTTCTCGCCCTCGGTGGAGGTCGACTCCGCCTGGCAGCCCGTCAAGGACTACATCACAGACGAGCTGGGCGTGAACACGGACCGCGAGCAGTGCTGGTGGGAGGACTGGGACGAGGGGGCGCTCCGGAAGATCATCGCGGACCAGAAGCGCATCACGCAGAAGTCCAAGGAGCTGGGCCTCAAAAAACTATATCAGGTATTGATAGTTTTGGACGACCATGCCGATAACCCCGCGGTCCACCGCAAGACGGGAGACGGCGTGCTGGACACGCTCTTCATCCGCGGCCGGCACTTCTGCATCAACACCTGGGTGAGCACCCAGAAGCTGCGTCTCATGAGCTCCGCCGTGCGGGTCAACGTCATGTTCTACTGCGTGTTTCGCTTGCGGAACCAGCTGGAGCTGGACGCCCTGGTGGAGGAGCTGAGCGCCATGCTCCCCAAAGAGACCCTCTACGCCATGTACGAGGAGGCCACGCGGGAGCCCTATTCGTTTTGGATGGTGAACCTCCGCGCGCCCAAGGAAGACATGTTTTGGGTGCGCTTCGACCGGAAGTTCCTCGTAAACGGCGATGGGCAGCCTGCTGAGCCAGATGGCGGCCAAGCTGCTGGGCGGGGGTCCGATCTGCGAGAGCGAGTGCAACAACCTTAGGTGCTGCACCGAGGAGTCGGCCGCCAGCGAGTTCCCGGCGCGGCGCACGGGGATTTTCCGCCGTAAGAGAAAGCTCATGACCTCCATCTACGTGGACTCGCGCAAGCTGGCCGTCTACAAGGTGCGCATCGCCGACGCCTTCCTGAGCACGGACCGCGGGACGTTTTTGTACTGGGAGGACGAGGTCGCCGGCACCCTGCACTACGCGGAGCTCCCCGTGGGCGCGCACACGGGCCCTCGGCTGGCCGCCTGGATCAGCAGCAACTTCGCCGCGGCCACGTACACCGCGGAGACCAACGAGCTGGACGTCACCTACGACGGCGTGCACCTGATCCTCAACGACGCCGAGCTCCGGCAGCGCTTCCCGGGCACGGGCTCCTACCCGCCGGGCGCCTCGCCCAGCAAGCCCCAGTCCATCAACCACCTCCTGGGCCCCAGCTACCTCACGGGCTCCGTGCAGCGCTTCATCTTCGTCCAGATGAACGTGTACTCAGAGCTGTACTTGCGCTGCCCCTCACTGGCCAACGGCGAGACCACGGTGGGCCCGCTGGGCCACGACATCCTCTGCAAGATCATCGTCTCCAAGAGCGTGGGCCACATCATGGAGACCGAGACCTCGGAGGGCCACTGGGTTCAGCTCCACGGGCCCATCACGCTGCGCCACCTGCGCTTCAAGCTCACCGACTACCAAGGCAACGTGGTGAACACCAGGGGCACCAGCGTTTCCTTCGTGGTGTTCCTCGACACCGAGCGATAAAAAAAAAAATCTTTTATTAAATGGCTGAGCAGGAAGATGCACCCGCTCCTGTGGCCGCCGAGCCACCCGTGGCCGAGCCTCCCGTGGCCGAGCCTGCCGCGCCCGAGCAACCCGAGCCAGCACAGCCCTCGGAGCCGTCGGTGGTTCCCGCTCCCGAGCCGCCGCAGCCGAAGCGAAGAGGCAGGCCGCCGGGCTCCAAGAACAAGCCCAAGCCCGCCCCGCCCACCGTGGCGGTACAACCGGTGCTGGCCGAGCCTCCGAAGGCTCCTCCCACGACTGCACCCGCCCCCGAGACCCCCGCGCCCCCTGCCGCGCAGCCCCCGGAGCCTGAGCGGCCCGTCCGCATGACGCCCTCGGAGGCCCGCCACGCCCGGCACCTCTCCCGCGCAGACCGCTTCCACGAGCTCCTTCTCCGCAACACCATGGATCTGTGATCCTGTAAATGATGCCCTTTCCGGAGCGGCGCAACGAGGCGGCCATGTTGAGGGCCTTCCACAAACAGTACCCAAGCTACAACCTGACGCCGCTGCTCTACAAGAGGCAGCAGCAGCTCATCGACGCGCGGGCCTTCAACGAGTGGCTGGCCAACCGGCGGCAGCGCCAGGAGGGCGAGAGCTACGCGGACGAGGTCGGGCGCATGACCGACGCCGTGAACCGCAGGATCCCCCAGCTGAGGTGGGCCCCCGCCGAGCGGGCGGGCGTGCGCCGCATGGCGCGGGACGTGGCCGCCGGCCGGAACACGGCGGACTCACAGGGGTCTGTAAAAATGTACGAGAGCTTGGTGGAGCAGGCGACGGAGAGCGACTGGACGGAGGAGGAGAAGCGCGACTGGTACAGGGAGCGCCCGGACGACGCAGAGTACTACCAAGTCCAGCGCGACCTCTTGCGGGACGGGCTGACCCGCAAGGCGCAGCTGACGCAGCTCGCGCCCCACCGGGAGGGCGGCCCGATGCTCTGGGCCATCGGCCTGGAGGGCCCGTCGCCCCTGAAGCGCCCCGAGGCGGAGCAGTACCACCCGCTGCACGTGAGCCTGGCCTTCGACGACGAGCTCTCGGAGGAGCAGAAGGAGGACCTCCTCTGCGAGTGGGGCGAGGAGCGCGAGGTCACGCTGCGGTTCCACCGCTTCACCTCCGGCGGCACGGGCGAGCTCTCCCTCAACTGGGATCCCATCGCCAACTCGGAGAGCGTGCAGAAGGCGCACGAGCTGGGCTTCTTGCGGGACCGCGCGCTGCACGTCAGCTTCTAGGACAATCAAGTAAAGACATGGAGGAGCGGCGCGCGCACGGCTTCCGCGTCAAGCCCTCCTACTCTCAGGTCCTGGGCTTCATCGCCGAGGGCGAGCCCCTGCCGATCAACCTCCCGAACCGCAACGCCAGCATCTACACCTCCAGTCACTTCTGGCTGGACGACTACCCCCGAGCTCGGAGCCCGAGCCAGCGCCGTTGCCGCACACGACCGTGGACCCCGCGGCGGCCTACGAGGACGCCAACGAGGGCTACGATGGCGTGCCCTTCCCGAGAAGGGACTTCCTGCGCCCACGGCCCTTCGACCTGGACAGCGAGTCTGATTTTGGGGCTGTGGATCCCGGGCAGGCGCTGAGAAACGACGGGTTTCAGCCGCCGCCGGCGCCGGGCTTCCTGGGGCGCCTGCAGCAGGCCGAGGCCGCGGCGGGAGCGGCGGCGGGGCTGGCGGGCTCCGCCTCCGCCATCACGGAGCACGGGCAGGACCTCTACAACGCCGCGCGCAGGGGTCGCAACTGGATCGACCGGAACTTGCGCATCCCGCGCACGCCCGAGGGCCTCGCGCCCCCGCCCGACGAGGTGGCCCCTCCGCAGATCATCGGGAGGCCCAGCGAGGTGGAGCCGCTCCTGGAGCGGGCGGGGCAGCGAGCCCAGGAGGTGGAGCGGGCCGCGGCGCGCGACATCGAGCAGTTCATGAGCCAGCAGATGGCTGAAGCAGAGGCAACCGAGGGCTTCGCTTCCGCGGCGGAGGCGGCCGCGGGGGCAGCGGAGGCGGCCACGGCCGCGGAGGCGGGAGGAGGCACGCTCGCGGCCATCGGCTCCGGGCTGGCCGCCGCCGGAGAGGCTGCGCTGCCCGTAGCCGCCACGGTGGGAGCGGCGGCGGGAGGCCTGGCAGTGGCGGGCGCGGGCGCAGCTCTCGTGGGCACCGCGTGGGCGCTGCACGGGGGCATGGTGGCGGCAGAGCACCTGATGGGCTGGGGGGGAGGAGGCGGAGGCTGCCTCCCGCTCCAGCTCCGCGCCCGACATCCAGACCCTCAACGGCATGCAGGAGTTTGGGGCGGAGCAGCACTTCCAGGTCCGGGAACAACGCCCGAGGCCCCGGTCTACCGCATGGACACCGAGAGCGAGGCCGAGCCGCGGGCGCAGCCGCCCCCGAGGGTGCAGGCCCGCCCCGCGAGGCCCACGCGCTTCCCCACGGGCCTCAACCCCGCTCCCCTGGCGCAGTCCTCGGGCAGCGAGTCCTCCCGCGCGCCGCGGATGCAGCGTCAGGCCTCAGACAGGTCCCGCGCGGCACCACCGCCTTCCTTCGAGGCGCTTCGCAGCGCGAGCGAGCCGGAGGCCGCGTGAAATCTTTCCGGTAGAGTAAAACCATGGAGCAGGTGACTGCTGCCGTGAACGACGAGCTGGTCCAGAGCCTCGACTACAAGCTCCAGTCGAGCAACGTCAATTACGTGCAGAGCCGCAAGGATGTGCAGTACTACCCGAGCTCCCTGAGCGTCTTCACGCCGACCACGAGCCGCGTGTGCCGCATACCGCTGACCAGCGGCATGGACTTCGTGGACGGGGAGTCTGTCAAGCTCGGCTTCACGGTGCGCAACAACTCCACCACGGCCACGCTGCAGCTCGGCTCGCCGGACCCCAGCTGCCTCATCGACCGCGTCGAGGTCTTCGCCAACGGCACCCGCATCGAGGACATCTCCTACTACAACCACTGCTCGTATTTGTACAGCCTCCTGAGTGGTGGCTGAACCGGCACATCCAGGGCTTTTTGGCGGACGGCGGGGGCCACGCCGCCGAGATCGCGGCCTCGGGCTCCCGCACCGTGCTCATGAGCCCGCACCTCATCGGGATCTTCAACTGCGGCAAGATGCTGCCCCCCGAGCTCAACCTGGTGCTCCAGATCACCTTCGCCGACCCCTCGGACGCGGCCCGCAACGTCAGCGCGAGCCAGGACTACACCATCGAGAACGTGAAGCTCTACGCCTCCCAGGTGACCCTCGACTCCGCCCTCCGCGAGAGCTTCCGGAGGATCATGACCAGCGGCCGCAGCCTGATCTTCAGCTTCCCGACCATGCACACGCAACTCTCTTCCGTCCCCGCCGGGTCCACCAGCTACAACATCACCGTGGCCCGCGCTTTCACGAAGATGCTGGGCGCCTTCGTGACCTTCAACAAGACCACGGAGGACCACGTGGACAATTTCGAATACGCCGGAGCGAACGCGAACCGGAACCTCAAGGGCCAGCTGCAGCTGGGTGCCTTGCAATATCCTCGCACGGCCAACGAGAGCATCGCCGAATGGCATCACTTTTTGGAGATTCTGGCGGGAACCTACGACTCCAAGCTGCGCAACATGCGCATCCGGGACAACCTCTTCGGGAACTCGCAGTTCATCGCGGCCTTCCCCGTGGAGCGCGTGCCGAAGCACCCGCTCTCGGGCATCTCCACGCGCTCCGGAGACCTCTGCCGCTTCAGCTTCTCGAACATGGAGGCGGAGCGCGTGGACCAGTGCTTCGTGCACATGCTGTCCTACCAGCTCGTGACGCTGTCGGGCGCGGGGGTCAGTTCCCTGGATTAGAGTAAAACATGAGTCTCTTTTCTTCCACGATCACAGGGAACGTGCTCAACGACGGGGAGACCCCCATGGCCACGATCGAGGTGACCGGCGTCACCGCGGGGCAGCTGGCCACCGTGCTGACCCAGTACACGCCCCTGGAGACGACCACCAGCAACACCGCCTCCATCGGCACCAACTCCGCCGCCGTGGCCGCGCTGCAGACGCAGGTGGCGGCCATCCCCGCGCCGCCCGATCTGACCCCATACGCTCTGGCGGCCGACCTCGCAGCAGCCGAGGGCCTCATCGCCGCCAACCAGTCCTCCATCACCTCCCTCAGCACCAGCCTCACCACGGGCCTGGCGGGGAAGGCGAACCAGTCGGCCCTGGACGCCCTGCAGCTGGACGTGGACGGCAAGAGCACGCCCGCCTCCGTGGACCTGAAGCTGGCCAACCATCCCACCAACGCCTCGATGAACAGCGCGATCACCAGCGCCAACAACGCCACGCTGGCCACGGTGGCGGCCAACTACGGGCTGAAGAGCACGCAGGATCAGCAAGCCCTCGACATCGCGGCCCGGCAGACGGCCGCGGACGTCTGCCAGGCCATCGCCACCGCGCTCCTCCCGTACACCGACACCAGCAGGCTGAACAGCGCGGTGGCCCTGCGCACCACGCCCGCGGACGTGGACCAGAAGATCGCGACGGCGCTGCTGCCCCTGGTCGCCCAGACGGCGCTGGACGCAGCCCTCGCCCTCCGCGACGGGCGGCTCGACGCCGCGGAGGCGGCCCTGGCGACGCTGCAGGCAGCGGGCTTCCAGTCGGCTGCCGACGTTGCGGCGGCGCTCGCCACGGCCCTCGCGGCCTACACCGATACCGCGGGGCTCAACGGTCTATTGGCCGTGCGGGACGCGCGCCTGGACGGGGCACGACGCGGAGATCCTGGCCCTGCAGGGAGCGGGGCCCTTCGCCACCTCGGCCGACCTCTCGGCCTCCGAGGCGAGCCTCCAATCGGCCATCGACGCGCTCAACTCCGCGCTGGCCGCGCTCACCACGGGCGGCGGCACGAACCTCGCCAACGCCCAGGCGTGGCCCGGGCAGACGACCTGGGACCTCCTGGTGGGCACCAACACCATCCGCAACCTGCACTTCAGCGGCGCCCCCCTGAGCGTCTCCCTCGAGAACGACAACTTCACGCTGTCCCTGGCCTGCGACGCCTACACGCAGGCGGAGGTCACCGCCCTCCTGGCGCCCCTGGCCAGCGAGTCCTGGGTGCTGGCCACCCTGGGCGGCTACTACACGAGCGCCGAGACCAACGGGGCCATCACGGCCGCCCTGGCCGCCTACTACGACTCGGCCCAGACGGACGCCGCCATCGCGGCGGCGCTCGTGCCCTACTCAACCACCGTGCAGATGGACGCCGCCGTCGCGGCCGCGCTGGTGCCCTACAGCACCACGGCGCAGATGGACGCCGCCATCGCGGCCGCCGTGGGGGCCATCGACCTCTCCGCCTACAGCACCATCGCCGCCCGGGACGCCGCCATCGCCGCCGCGCTGGTGCCGTACAGCACCACCGTGCAGATGGACGCCGCCATCGCCGCGGCCGTGGGGGCCATCGACCTCTCGGCGTACAGCACCGTGGCTGCCCGGGACGCCGCCATCGCGGCCGCCCTGGTGCCCTACAGCACCACCGTGCAGATGGACGCCGCCATCGCGACGGCCCTGGGCGACTACGTGCCCTGGATGGGGCTCCAGGCCCCCATCGTCAACGAGATCAACATCGCCCTGACGGACTACTGGGACCAGACGGAGACTCCCGCTACTTTCCCACGAACGGGAACGTGGAGGAAGGGGGCATCTACACCATGGTGCTGGAGCAGTTCACGCCGCGCATGATCCGGGCCCTCCTCCCGCCGGCGCCCCTGAGCGCCACGCCCATCCTGGGCAACGGGGCGACGCTGCGCCTCAACGCGGACTGCTACTCCAAGGCGGAGAGCGACTCCCGCTACGCCACGCCGGCCGACCTGGACGTCATCAGCTGCACCAGCCTCACCGCCAGCAGCTTCGTGAACACGCTCAACTTCGCCGCCACGGGCAACGTCTCGGGCGTGGACGCGCTCTTCACGGTGGACGTGCAGACGCCGCTGCTGCGGGCCGTGAGCGGGGACGGCTACCTGCGCTTCGGGGGCGGGCTGGTGGGCCTCCAGTTCCTGGACAGCGGCGCGGCCGTCGTCGACGAGATGACCTCCTCCCAGATCGCTCTGGAGCAGGACGTGAACGTGGCCCAGAGCAGGACGCTCGCCTGCGCCAGCATCGCGACCACGGGCGGCGTGGCCAACCTGGCCATCCAGGGCGGCACGCAGGGCATCGTCTGCACCTCCAAGGGCCTCAACGTCACGGAGAACTTCCCGCTCTCCGCCAACCCGACGGACGGCAACGTGGCGGTCCGCGTGGAGAACACGGCCCCCACGGGCTTCGCGATGCTGGAGATGAGCGCCAACGGGGGCGCGAGACGCCGTCCACGGGCGGCTGCACGCTCTACGCGCCCAACCAGGAGATCTGGCTGCAGAACCGCACGAGCGGCTCCGCGCCCCTGGTGGTGGAGACGGACTCGGACGTCACGGTCAACTACGGCTTCAACAACCTCAGCGACGAAAAGGTGAAGACGAACATCGCGGACGCGGACCTGGAGGCGCTGCAGGCCATCTTCGACGGCGCCCACCCGAAGACCTACGACCGCACAGACATCGAGCACTACGGCCGCCTGGGCTTCCTGGCCCAGGACTTCCTCGGGGCGGGGGTGACGGGGAAGACCTACAGGGACGGGGAGGAGCTGCTGACGCTCGACTACAGCAGGCTCACGGCCGTGCTCTGGGGCGTCGTGAAGAAGCTCCAGGCCCGCGTGGCGGCGCTGGAGAAGAAGCCCAAGAAGTAAGAAAATGGCGGAGGAGGCGGCGCTCCAGTTCTTCCGGGGCCTCGCGGAGGAGTACAACGCGCGGGACCCAAGGAAGCTCCACCAGCTGGCCCGCAGGGATCACCCCGAGCGCAGGGACCTGACGGCGGCGCGGGCCCGCCAGGCCCTGCGGGGGGACGTGGCGCGGCAGGTGCTAGCGCCCAAGCCGCGGAGCCTGGGCAAGAGCGCGGCGGAGGGCCCCAACGACCGGCTGCAGGCGGACCTGGTGGACTTCTCCCAGAACACCCGGGGGAGGAACAAGTACGGGCTGGCGGTGACCGACGTCTTCCCGCGGGAGGTGGCCACGAAGGCCCTGCCCGACAAGCAGGCGGAGACGGTGACCCAAGCCGCCGCCGAGATCATCCCGAAGCTGGTGGAGGAGGAGGGCAACTACGTGGTCACGACGGATTTGGGAAACGAATTCCAGGGCCTGGAGGAGGCGCTCCCGGAGCCCGCGGTGCACCGGCACAAGCGGCCGGAGGACCGGAACGCGCTGGCCGTGGTGGACAGGGCCATCCAGACGCTGAAGCGGGACCTGGCCGGGAAGGTGGCCCGGGACGGGGGCGGCTGGGCGGAGCACGTGGAGGGGGCCGCGGAGGCCTACAACAAGCGCCCGCACGAGGCGGTGCACGCGGCGCCCGAGGATGTGGAGAAGCAGCCGGCCACCACGTTCCGCGTCTACCAGGACAACGCGAGGAAGTTCCAGCACAACCGGGAGCTCACGGAGGGCCGGCAGCGGCGCCTCCAGGAGGCGGGGGCCTTCCGCGCCCCCACCAACGCCCAGAGGAGCTTCCAGCCCCAGTACGGGCCCGTGAAGCAGCTGGCAAGCTACGACTCGATGACCGTGCGGGCCACAGACGGCACGGAGGGCCTGCTGAAGCACGTGCAGCCCGTGCCCAAGGCCAGCGGGGAGCCTGTGCAGAGGCTCACGCAGCCGGGCGTGCCGCTGGCCGCCAGGCAGCTGCGGGACTTCAACGCCGCCCCTGGCCCTGCCCCTGGCCCTGCGGCGGCTGCCCCTGGCCTTGCCCCTGGCCCTGCGGCGGCTCCCAAGGCCGCCGCGGCGAGGAGGCTGCCCCTGGCCGTGCGGCAGCTGCGCGACTTCAACGCCCCGCCGCCCGCCAGGGCGCCGCGGGAGCTGAACTAGGGATCACTTGGGATCCAAGCAAAAACTGCGCGGCCACACGGGAGTGCTTCGGGGGCGCGTGGGATCCGAGCAAAAACTGCACAGCAAAACGGCTTCCTTACAGGTCAAGGAGGTGCTGCCGCACACGGCCACGTGCTTCGAGAGGGGGGCGCGTGGGATCCGAGCAAAAACTGCAGAGCAAATCGGCTTCCTTACAGGTTAAGGAGGTGCTGCCGCACACGGCCACGCGCTTCGAGAGGGGGGCGCGTGGGATCCGAGCAAAAACTGCAGAGCAAATCGGCTTCCTTACAGGTTAAGGAGGTGCTGCCGCACACGGCCACGCGCTTCGAGAGGGGGGCGCGTGGGATCCGAGCAAAAACTGCAGAGCAAATCGGCTTCCTTACAGGTCAAGGAGGTGCTGCCGCACACGGCCACGTGCTTCGAGAGGGGGGGCGCGTGGGATCCGAGCAAAAACTGCAGAGCAAATCGGCTTCCTTACAGGTTAAGGAGGTGCTGCCGCACACGGCCACGCGCTTCGAGAGGGGGGCGCGTGGGATCCGAGCAAAAACTGCAGAGCAAATCGGCTTCCTTACAGGTTAAGGAGGTGCTGCCGCACACGGCCACGCGCTTCGAGAGGGGGGCGCGTGGGATCCGAGCAAAAACTGCAGAGCAAATCGGCTTCCTTACAGGTTAAGGAGGTGCTGCCGCACACGGCCACGCGCTTCGAGAGGGGGGCGCGTGGGATCCGAGCAAAAACTGCAGAGCAAATCGGCTTCCTTACAGGTTAAGGAGGTGCTGCCGCACACGGCCACGCGCTTCGAGAGGGGGGCGCGTGGGATCCGAGCAAAAACTGCAAGCCGGTGGAGGAGCCCGCGGTGGTGGAGCCCGCACCGATGGACGTCGAGCCCACGGCGGTGGAGACCGTGGAGCCCGTGCAGGCGGCGGAGGAGCCCGCGAAGCCGGCAGCACAGCCTTCGGAGCCGTTGGTGGTGGAGCCCGAAGCCGTGGAAGAGTTCGGGGAGAAGCCGGCGGAGCCGTTGGTGGTGGAGCCCGAAGCCGTGGAGGAGCCCGGGGAGAAGCCGGCGGAGCCGGCAAAGCCGTTGGTGGCGGAGGAGCCCGCGAAGCCGGCAAAGCCGGTGGAGACCCAGGAGGTCTCGCAGCAGGAGGTGGAGGCGATCCGCAATGAGATCGCAAAGCAACAGGCGGAGCGGGCGGCGCAGGAAGAGCACGCGGAGGCGGAGCGGAAGCGCGAGCTGCAGGAGCGGCTTTACCTGGAGCAGGCCCAGGGACTGCGGCGCATCCAAGGCTTCCTGGCCAGGCCCTTGAACAACGACTGGATCGAGTTGGCGCTCGAGAACTACGAGGACGCCAAGTTCCGCGTGGAGGGCGGCTTCACCTTCGGCACGGTCGCCAAGTGCCGACTGATCACGGACGACGACGTCCGCGAGGTGAAGGCGCTGCCGGAGGTCAGGCCCGAGACCACGAAGGTGCACCTGCAGCTCGTAAACTCGGGGCCGACGGTGTACAGCTGGGCCCCCACGGCGCTGCCGAGCAGGCCAGCTCGCAGGATGCCCGAGGCCGCGAAGCCGGTGGTAGTGGAGGAGCTTCCGGCGGAGCCTGCAGTGGAGCCCGCTGTGGCAGAGCCTACGGCGGAGGAGCCAGTGGAGGAGCCGGCGGAGGAGCCTGCGGCGGAGCCTGCGACGGAGGAGTCTGCGACGGCATCCACGGCGGCCTCCACAGCGGAGGAGGAGGAGGGCGAGGTGGTGGCGGGCCTGCAGGTGCGTCGCGTGACGCACAAGAACGTGCAGTGGCTGGAGCTGGCGGCCAGGACGCTGGAGCAGTACAGGGCAGACCTGGAGATCCTCACGGCCAGGACGGCCGACGGAACCGTGGAGGCCTGCCGGCTGCGCTGGGGCACGAACACGTGGGCCAACGAGCTCTACGCCATCAACTCCAGCACCGGCAAGCTCGTAGCGCCCAAATCCAAGAAATCCGTCGAGGCGGACCAGGCCAGGGTGCAGTTCCGCCTGAAGTGAGGCGGCATTTCACGAGGGGGTAGGCACTCGGGACAGCAGCATCGCCCTCGGAAAAAAAAGCCGGCAGACCCGCTTTTTTTTATGGAACCAGGCACGGTAGGGGGACATGAACGCAAACGCCGTGCAGCCATTCAGCCCTTCCCAGCAACGCCCTAGGGCGCCATGGACAGCTCGGACAGCAGCTGGGAGGAGGACGAGCGGCTCCCGAAGCCGCCGCCGCGGGTGGACCGGCGGAACCGCGTCTTCGCGCGGCTGAAGCAGGACGTGAAGGAGGCCCGGGCCCTGCGGGCCTGCGGCGCCAGCTTCCTGGACCCGCACCTGCTGGCCTGGCGGGCGCGGGAGGCGGAGGAGCGCCTGGAGGCAAAGGACCGGCGCCTCCAGCAGCAGCGCGATGCGGCCCAGCAGCTCTTGCAGCCCAGGCACCACCAGGTGCAGGGTCACCGTGCCGCTTCCTGCTCCCGCCTCCTGCGGGCTTCCTCCTCCCTGCCCCACTGGGCCGCGGCTTCCTCCTCCTCCCGCCTCCTGCGGGCCTCAGATTCCTCCCTGGTTTTTGGGATGCCGCTTCCTCCTCCTCCCGCATCCTGCGGGCCTCAGCTTCCTCCGCCCTCTGGGCCGCGGCTTCCTTGGCCCTCTGGGCCGCCGCTTGCGGGCCTCAGCCTGGGCCGCGTCCCTCTGGGCCCTCTCCTCCTCCTCGATGCCGCGGGACATGTCCTCCTCCGTCCCCTCCACCGCACCGCCAGCCCTCTCCCGGGCTGCCTCCATCGCAGCTCTGCGCCTCCGCTCCTCGATGTCCTCCCTCCTCCGCCGGGGCCTGGGGGGGGCCTGCCACCGCCGCCGCCGCCGTGGCCCCGCCGTGCCCTGGACACCGCCGCTCCCATCATGGAGCCCCCCTGCCCACTTCCAACCTCCGCCGTTACCACCTCCTCCGTGGGCGCCACCTCCGCATCCTCCGCCAGCCCCTTTGGCCCTGCTAGGGCCATCTGGAGCACGCACAACGCGAGCACCGCCAGGGCTCCTCCTCGCATGAAGCTCGCCATGGGGTCAGGAGTCTCCGTTGCTACCAAAACTGCCTATGCCTAGGCTGTGAAAGTCTGTGAAAGTGCCTTAAGGGTTTCGAGGAGTGTGCCCCATGGAGGTGCTACGGTGCTGTGCCCCATGGAGGTGCTACGGTGCTGTGCCCCGTGGAGGTGCTACGGTGCTGTGCCCCATGAAGGTGCTACGGTGCTGTGCCCTGTGGAGGTGCTACGGTGCTGTGCCCTGTGGAGGTGCTGTGCTGCTAGTGTTGCTGCTGTGTCCCCAGACTCGTGTTGCTGTCAAACCCTTGAACCATGGAGCGGCGCGGCAAACATGTTAAGGTTCAGGGCCTTCTCGGAGGGGGGATCGGGCTTAGGGGGCTTGTGCAGGGCACTTGGTTGGCACTCCTACGGGGCAGCAAGGGGGTTAGGGCTGCAGGGCACTCTAGAAAAATCGGTTACACGGCGAAAGTCAGTGGTTTTTGATCATCAGTTTCAAGTTTTCGCCGCGCGCCACCACCGCCGCACCGCACCGCGCCGCCGCACCGCCCGCCGCACCGCACCGTTCTCGGCCCGATCTCCCCATCTCCCCCGCATTCCCACCGCAGCGCACCACCGCACCGCACCACCGCACCGCCGCACCGTTCTCGGCCCGAGCTCCCCATCTCCCCCGCATGCCCACCGCACCGCACCGCCGCCGCCGCACCGCCACCGCCGCACCATTCTCGGCCCGAGCTCCCTCCCCCGCATGCCCACCACAGCCCACCGCACCACCGCACCGCCGCCGCACCGCGCCGCCGCGCCGTTCTCGGCCCCAGCACCCCATCTCCCCCGCACCCCCACAGCGCACCGCACCACCGCACCGCCGCCGCAGGCCCGAGCTCCCCATCTCCCCGCATGCCCACCGCGTACCGTGCCGCGCGCACCGTTCTCGGCCCGAGCTCCCCATCTTCCCGCATGCCCCGCGCGCCTGCGCACCGCCGCTGCACCGCACCGCGCCCAGACTGCAGTCTTCCGGGGTATTTACCCGCAAATGAACGCGTTGCGCGGCATGTACAAATGAACGCGTTGCGCGACATGCAAAAGTGCACGCGTTGCGCGGCATGGCACATGAACGCGTTTCGCGGTGTGCAAATGAACGCGTTGCGCGACATGCAAAAGTGCACGCGTGACGCGGCATGTGCAAATGAACACGTTTCGCGGCGTGTGCAAATGAACGCGTTGCGCGACATGCATTTTCGAGGCATTTTTCCCGCATCATGAAAGCATTTTGCGGCATCATGAAATCATCACGGAGCATTTTTGTCGCATCACGAAAGCATCATGGCTGCAAAAAAGCATCTCTTTCATAGGAACGCCCACACCGCCCTGTGAGGAGGCGGATCCGGACTCATCAGGCTGGAAGCAGTTGGTTCAGCGGCTGTTGAGGCACTTTGGAGCCCGGGCAAGGTGGTTTGTCTGGAACTGGTTGTGACCGATCTTGGAGGAATACGGTGCTTGGTAGAGTAGAACTAAGGTTCTTCAGGAGCCTGGACCATCTGGTGTTGGTGAGAGAATTTTCGCCGAAGACGTTGTGGAGAGACTGCAGGCTGGAGCCTGAGTTCAGGAACTATGTTGAATACATCCCCACGACATACCAGTGGAGCTCATGTGAGGAGTCCAAGAGGTGGACGAGAGCGTGGAATCTCTGTGCCCATCATGGATGCTGAGACAAGGCGAAGGGTAGACCCTTTTTCCGGGTTTGGGAAATCCCAACCCACTGTGGGTGCAAGATTTGGCACAAGGGCCAACCTGTGTATGGCCCAGTGCCCAGAGGTCGAACTCCCGCCAGAAGCCCTCATGGGGTAGCTACTGGAGCACCCCAACAGACAATGGGAGGCCCTTCTTTTCCCTCTGGTTTGCCTCAGCAAGCGGTAGGAAGTCCTTCGTACCCCAGAACTATCCACTGGACCTCTCAACCTGTGGTGACACCATCACAAACATCACCCGACGTGCAAGGGTTGACGAGACAAGTGCGAGAATTGGAAAGCATGATGCAGCAACTGGTTGTGCAGCAACAGCAGTTTATGCAAACGATGACTTCGTCCATGGTAGCAACAGCAGCAGCATCAGCAGTGGATGATACATCAGCATCAGCAACAGCAGCCACAGCAACAGCAACAGGTGAATCCCTCCTTACCTCAGGATGGTGTTCCTGAGAACATTGCCCAGTTCTTCTTCGGGATGTCAAGGTGCATCGCCAGTGGGTACTCCTGCGAAGGGGACCCAGCTTTTTCGGATGGCGAGCCCAAGTCCCTCTGAGACCTCCACCTCTGGAGCAAGAAAGGGAAAGGGATGTGTTTGCTCGATCGGACAAATGGTGCCCAGTTTGCGACCATTGACTTTTCGTCTTGGAAGGATCGCATCTCTGAAGCTCTTGGATTCTTGACCTGGATGGAGAAGCTGACCAGTTGGGTTGGTTTGGGTTCAGAAGTGTTTCCCAATGAGCTCATGCATGCGGTGAAGACTCAAGAAGAGTCTCGTCGGCTGAAACAGGATCGACTTATTGTGGAGCAACAGAAGAGGTCGACGAGGCTGATGCACATCCTGCGACAGACTTTTGCAAATCATGAGAAGAGTTCTCTGATTTTGCAGACATATGTTGAAAGTGAGAGCACTTATCAACAATCTGGTTTTGTGGCTTTGAGATTGCTGGCGAAGGAGTTTTGCCTGAAGTCGCGAGCTGAATGCCTGTTCTTTCGGTCGCAGCTGGTGAATCAAACCGTGAAAGCACCCAGTATTCCGGAGATCATTCGAAAGATTGAGCATGAGTTGAACAAGTACACCAAGCTGCTCAATAGTCTTGATCCCGATGTGCATGCTGGTGGTTTGCAGATCCAAGAAGCGGATTCGGTTATGGTTTTGCTGCGCAGTTTGCCAGATCGGTGTAGAAGCCATTGCTTGTTGCATGGCGATAGTGAATCGTTTGAAGATCTGAAAAGAGTTGCTCTGAAGTTTGAGGTGCAACAAAGGGTGTGGTCAGAAGCCCCTGGCACGAAGCTTCAACCTTTTCGAGATCCCAATGAGGGAAAGGGCAACGAAGGAAAACCAAAAGGCAAAGGAAAGGAACAGAAAGGCAAGCGCGAATCAAGCAAAGGTGCTGGCAAACGAGCTTCAAGCCAGAACAAGAAGGATGTGGAGTGCTATGTGTGTGGTGGAAAGGGACATTATGCCCGCGATTGCTGGTATAAGGAGGGAGATTCAGGCAAGAAGCCCAATTCCCCCAATGCTAAGGCGAAAGCCAAGGCAAAAGGAGATCCCAAGAAGAAGCCCGAAAAGGGAAAGCCCAAAGGAAAAGGCAAAGGAAAGGGGAAGACAGTTGCTGAAGTCTCCCAAGAGGGTGAGTCGAGTGACTACCAGCTAACTGGAGGTGAATGGAATGAACCTGAGTCAGAGGCCCGAGTGGAATCTGTGTTGCAACCTCTGGAAGGATTGCTCGATGAAGTGAGAAAAGAGTGGATTCCCCGGAGTACTGATGAGATAGATTGGTCATGGGAAGTTGAGACGAGAGTCCGGATTGCCGAGTTGGAGCATCGGATCTCTACCGATTTATCTCAGATGTTGCCATCTAAGTCAGTTCGGTCTTTGATGAAACCTCCGATGAATCAAGTCAAAAGCATGGAAAAGGATGATGCAAGCAAATGGTGGTTGATTGACTCAGGAGCATCGGTGACTGTGATTGCGAAAAGATACTTGGATGAGTTCCAGATCTTGGATCGGAAGGCGTTGGGACCTAATGAGAGGTACTCAGCAGCCAACGATACCCCGGTGAATGTCTTCGAGCGAGTTCGCATCCGAGCCTTGCTGCCTATGTATGAAGGAAAGCAGTATCTTGGTTTGACATCGGTGTGTGTGACTGGAGTTGTAGCAGATGTGGCTCACAACATCTTGAGCACCGAGCAGATGGTGAATACTGGTTGGGAAGTGAAGTTCACTCGAAGAGAGATT